AACCCTGCAGCCCAATGGTATCAATGTGGATTTCACAAGTTTCAAAATCTCCCCTCCCCCTACCGCATCCCAAAACCAGTCCAGCTTGTCCCGCCTCCCTAACCTGTTCTTCCTCCCACCTATCCTCTCCTCCCACCTCAAGCCGCACCTCCATCTCCTACCGACCAACCTCATCCCGCCCCCTTGACCTGTCCGTCCTCCCCGGACTGACCTATCCCCTCCCTAACTCCCCACCTACACTCACCTTTACTGGCTCCATCCCCACCTCTTCGACCTGTTTGTTTCCTCTCCACCTACCCTCTCCTCTATCCATCTTCTATCCGCCTCCCACTCTCTCCCTATTTATTTCAGAACCCCCTTCCCCTCCCCCTTTTCTGATGAAGGGTCTAGGCCCGAAATGTCAGCCTTTCTGCTCCTATGATGCTGCTTGGCCTGCTGTGTTCATCCAGCCTTGCACCTTGTTGTCTCGGAAGCTTCCTATGTTCCACTTTTATAACACTGCAGGTTCTGGCTTTTGATAGCCTAGTTCATTACAACAGTTCCTCAGTTGGATTGTTCTGGGTGCCTCCCTTTGCCTCCCTGTTACAAGCAGTTCTGTTTCAATATGTCTCTTTCATCATGTTCAGATAGTTTGCCTGTCCCCAACCGGCTTTTACCATAATCAAACAAAATAGCTGCAGATGTTTTATTGCTCCACAACGCAAAGTCAATTGTGCTGAAATTCCTTTTGATGTTCCTCTTCTTATCTCCTGTTTCACACTACAGCAGCTTTAAGTCCTCACACCTTTTTGAGGTTTTAATGAACAGAGGTGGAATCCTTGAATTACTCAATGACACTGTGTTATCTTAAGAATCAATCACAATCTGATTGGTCTGTTTTGGCTACAGGTGAATCCACAGCAGAAGTCATGTCGCTTTTGGGAACCATCTTATCAGACTGCACTCAATATGTCCATTCAGTGCATCATTCTCCGCCACTTCCGCCACCTGCAATCTGACCCCATTACCAAGGATATAGTTCCCTCCCCATCCTTATCTGCCTTTTGTAGGGACTGCTCTCTCCGCGACTCCCTCGTCCGCTCCACACTCCCCACCAGCCCCACCACCCCCTGGCACCTTTCCCTGCAACTGCAGGAGGTGCTACACCTACCCCAACACCTACGCCCTCACCTCCATCCAGGCCCCAAGAAAACCTTCCACATTAAACAGATGTTCACCTGCACATCCCTAATGTGGTCTATTGTATCCGCTGTTCCCGATGTGGCCTCCTCTACATCGGGAAATCAAGCGGAGGCTTGGAGACTGCTTTGTGGAGCGCCTATGCTCGGTTCGTGACAAACGACAACACCTCCCAGTCGCGAACCACTTCAACTCCCCCTCCCACTCCTTGGACGACATGTCCATCCTGGGCCTCCTCCAGTGCCACAATGATGCCACTCGAAGGCTGGAGGAACAGCACCTCATATTCCGCCTGGGAACCCTGCAGCCCAATGGTCTGAATGTGGACTTCACAAGCTTCAAAATCTCCCCACCCCCAACCTCATCCCAAGACCAGCACCTCTCATCCCGCCTTCTTGACCTGTCTGTCTTGCCTCCACCTATCTGCTCTACTATCCACCTTCTATCATCACCTTCCCCTCTCTCTATTTATTTCAGAGCCCCCTTCCCCTCCCCCATTTCTGAAGAAGGGTCCAGACCTGAAATGTCAGCTTTCCTGCTCCTCTGATGCTGCCTGGCCTGCTGTGTTCATCCAGCTCCACACCTAGTTATCTCAGAACGGAGTAGGTTTCTTTACAATATATAATAACTACACATTTTAGACAAAAAAACCTCCTCATAATTTGTTGGAAATTGGGGTCTCTTTTAAAACTTAATTTTTCAAATATTTCCTGCATAGCATGAAACCTTGTCACGGTAGTCACTTCCCTTCCCAAATGTAAAAAATTTCTTAAACAAAGACAAACTGAAAGTATGATAAAGGTCACAAGAAGGTTGGGATTGGGATCACTGAGATCACTATGTTCCATTGGACTAACATCAAAGATTTAGCTGGCGCCACATGTGCCCTATTACCAATGTAGTGTTTAAGAAAATAAAAGTTTTTGTCACAAGAAAAAATTAAAATGGACTTTTCAGTGGAGGTGGAGGGGCAATGGTTATTCCGATGTCATGAGTAGCTGGTTCCTGCTTGTTATATAAAAAAGATTCAAATAAGTGATTGACACAGCCTAGATTGCTAAACCCCATAATAGGGTTTATTAACAAAGAGTCAGAGTTGCAAGGTCATTCTCGTAAGGGGGCTATGTTTTCCAGACAGTTGCCTCTGTCTGACGGAAGATGGACCAGGAGCAGAGGAAGGAGACCCAATAAGCCTTTCAGCTGAAGGCAAAGATGCTGTCCCTGTCACTTCAATCTATTACCACTTGTGTACTTTTCTGTCTAGTTAACTAATATCCCACATCTAAACTGCTGCTTCTTGACAAATTTAATAAACTACCTGAAAGTTCCTTACAAATGGCTGACTGCCTATGTTCGGTAACTTTGGTCCTGAACCCCTAAATCTAACAAATGCTGTGTATGATTGGAGAATATGAGCAATGAGCATCGGGAGAGTGGGCAGAAGAGATTTATAAGAGTGGTTCTAGGGATAACAACCTTCTGTTATGAAGGTAGATTGGAGAGGTTTGGACTGCTCTCCTTAGATAGGAGAAGGCTAAGGGAAACTCTGATAACAGTTTCCATAATCATGAGAGGTCTGGATAGAGTGGATAGGGAGAAACTGTACCTGCTTGTAAAAGATCCGAGAATGAAAAGGCAGAAATTTAAAAGGATTAATAAAGGTAGCAAATTTGGTATGTGAATTTTCTTTCACGTAATAAGTGGTTAGGATCTGAAATGCACTGCCTGGAAGTGTAGTGGAGGCAACTTCAATTGAGGTAGTCAAAACAGCCCTGGATGACTATTTGAATCGAAACAATGTGCAGGGGTATGTAGAAATGGCAGGAGAATTGCACAAAGTAATTGTATTCATTTGGAGAACCAGTGAAGGCTTAATGGGTCAACAGCCCCCTCTACATCATATAACTTCTGTAATTCTGTAAAGAAGCTAGAAACCCAATGGCAGTAGCATGTGTCTAAAGACCATAAGAAGAACCACATATAAGGTTTGCTGCAATATAGGCTGCCTGCACTGAAACCCCAGGAGGCAGAGTTGCTTTGCAGACAGAACTTTGCAGAACAGTGCATATCTGATTCGTGGGGCAGCCAAATCGATGCATGGTGGGGGGTTAAAGTCAGTTAAAGATTCTGTAATCAGCTTTGATTCAGGCAGCAAAGCTCCAGGGTTATTATCAAATGTATACTTATATTTAAGTACACATTTAATGAATGTTATTTATCTCTTTAAAAGCCAGAATATACAGAAGATGCTTATATATCTCAACTCATTTTTCAACCCTTATCTGGTCAGCCAAATATTCTACCTCCCACATTATGGAATATGTTGAACCTTGCCTGTACTTCAACAATCTCCCAAGAGGTCACCATTAATAGGGAGATCCAACAATGTATCAGCTGCACTAGCTCAGCTTTCCATAGCCTGCTGTAGCCAATGTTTGATAACAAAGATTTCCAGAAGTCAATTGAAGTCCCAGTGCACAAAGCAGTTGTTGTGACTGGCTGCAAAGAGGCCTTGACTGTGTCACTGGCACAGAAAAGTACAAACAAAATTCAATCAGATGCCCCTGCCACATCCACATCAGGATCACTGTCAAAGAGAGGTGACTGTCCTTTCTAAAGCATAGCCCACAAGCATTTAGGCAAGACTTTGCAAAATCAACTTTAAAGGGCTGGTCAATGTGGCCAAATTGCCTCACTTGCCATGTCCTGTTCTCTCAAATCTTAAATGGCTAATGTTGCAGGAAAAAGACTTCAAAGACACTCTGAATTTCAAACTAAAGTGTGGCAGCATTGATGTTAATGACTGGAGGAATTTGTTCCAATTCATCAATGCAACAACTTGTCCATCAAACTGTGCCATGCTTTGGGTTGCAATGCCATAATGATAAGGCAGAGTGACCACAGAGAAGAAAGAAACAAAAGCAAATCCTGCCCAATGGGAAATCACATCCCCAAAGATCTGTCAGGTTGACAATCAGTCTGCCTATGACAGAATCTTGTAACCTCGAGTAGATGTCACCCTTCAATTGAGGGGCAGGTGACGTCAGGCAGGTGGAAACTGGGAACCAACTCAGATGTGGAATTGGACAGAGAGAGAGGACCAGACAGAGACAGAGGATGATTAGGATGCAACATTTATGATTAAAATGTTATTGCAAACATTTACAGGGTAAAGTTTCTACAACCAACATTCTGTCCAAGCTTTGCGACTGTGCTTGCAGCTGCTCCAAGTTTCTACACCCGGCAATCCTCATTGGCACATTGATTCTTGCATTGTCATCCAGTTGTGAAAGTCTAAGCTGTGCATGGACCTTGAAGACCCACACAGCCTGTAAGAAACTTAGGGAGAACCCTGGATGTAACTATTCTTCCAAGTTTCTGGTTATTCTTATACCTCTTTGTGAAGACCTCTGTCTTTTTACCATTGTGAATAAAGTCCCCATAATCTCTACAACAGTATAATTTTTTTGCTGATTGTTACAGGCATTTGACTGTGTTCTTTCCATACCCATGACTTAGTCTCTTCTTTTCTTTGACCCCTTGTTGTTATATATGGAAGAGTCCACAGATACCTTGTTTTTGATATTAAGTTATATACATTTACAATCTCTAATTATTGTTCATATCTAAATACTCTTTATATTGTAAACAAATAAACATAAAAAAACTAATAAAATGTATATCAAACAGAAGTTTCATTATCTTATATTTGTATAAAATAGCATTTATTCTGGAAGATGCTGATTTTAGAATTCCTGATGTATGCATGTAAGAACACTCACTAAAAAACGTGAGAAAGGTTGCTGTAACTTTTACACTACCTGTAAACTATTCAGTTGCTGCTCCCCCAGGAGGCGTTGTGTCTCTTCCAACTCCTGCTGGAAGTATAATCGGCTGTTTTGCAGATTTGCCCCACTCCTCTCTTGCATAAGCTTGGCATAAGCCTTAGCTTCTGAAAGCTGTTTCTGATAGCGGGAACCATTTCTAATCTCATGAGTTGATAAATTCAGAAGCAAATCAGTCGTCCTGAGAATACAATTCCAAAAAATAATGTACAATCATCAGTGAATTTTTTTTATTGTGTGAAGGACCTGCCTTATTCACAACATTACAGTTTTAGTTTTAGTTAAACTTATAAGACAAATGTATTCGATATACATTCTAGACAAAACTTTAGTAGAAATGGATACAAACAATAAAAAAACACTAAATTTTGTGGTAACACATTCCTAACTTATCAAAACAAATGATATATGTGGGACCAGAAAATGTAACTTCAAAATGTGGACTTAACTTTTATTTATGCAGTCTGATGAAATTATACCGCACTCTTTAAAGCTGCTTCAATTGAAGATAACACATGGCCTCATGTACTGATCAATGAGAAACTGACTAGGATTGTAGATGTGTAGTACAGCAATAACAGAAATTATTCTATAACGTAGCAAAAGTACTTTAAAAGATTCAATCAGCAAAAGGAAAGATTGTTTCCACTTGTGAAGTAGATAGAAACTACATGTAACATGTAGCTAATTCTATCTTTAAAAAAACGCACTTCGATAAAAAGGGAAATTAAAGAGTAAATTTTTGGGATTAGAGTAGCTGGCTCCTAAAGGAAAAATCCGTTTGCAGAGACATTTTCACCAAATAGTCTACTTCTGTGGAGTAATTGTGATTCTACTTACACAACACCTGAAAATTTAATGGAGAAACACTAATTTTAAACTATACTTAAAAACTGAAAACCGGAGAGAGGCCATTAAGCTTCAGAGACGAAAGGAATATAAATAAATCTTCAAATTTGTCCTTATAATCTTCATTTCCATTATAAACCACATATTCACCAATTTATTTTTTACCACTAAAGCAAACTCATTAAACTCATTAAAAGCATTGGATGGGACTCTGGTACATATTGACAGACTGTCGGGAAAACTAATAATAAAATTGCTTCTTAATTTGATCTTATATTAAATTACTTTCTTGCATTGGCATTCATACAATTTATGCATTTTGATGTTTTAGAACTTGGAAGATGCATTCTATTTGATAAGGAACGCTCATCATCTTACCGTTTGTTAACTGTGGACTTTGCAATAACATATGATGAGGATGCTGACCCACAAGATGAACCTTGAACCTGTTCAAGAGCTTCCTCTAATCGAATGGCCCGTTTTCTATGACCTGAACAAATCAAAAAAGAATTGAACCATTTAACGTAAATTTATAAATATATTTCTATCTTTATAAATAGAATTACAGGCATGCTCATGGTAAATATGAGGATGTGCTACTTGCTAAAAGGGTGTCAGGTTCATTGATTTAAAGTGACTGAACAAATGAAATACCATTTTTATTAAATAGAATTCTTGGATTTTTACTGATTTGAGGATTGAATTCCAAACTGTACCAATTGTTTTGTGAAAATGGTAAACTCTTGGCTTTAGTTTAAGCATATATTCTATTAACTAAATGAATTGCATTTTTCTCTCAATACTATTAACACTAGAATCTAAGGAAGACAGTATGTAAGAAATGCCAGTTGGAGTTCAATATTTGATGTTTAAAACTTCTGATGTGACAGCTGGGCCTGGCTATATTAGAGACAATGCTGTACTTTGGCAGCAGAGTGCGCAATCCTGAACTGTGGAGTTCCTGGAGGTAGCTGTGAGTGGAGGTGCCACTGTTGGACTGGGGTGGACAAAGTCCGAAGTCACATGACACCAGGTTATAGTCCAACAGCTTTATTTGAAATCACAAGCTTTTGAAGCACTGCTCATTTATCAGGTGAATTTACGTCACCTTCAACTGACTTCTGACTTGATTCAACAGCTTTGTAGCAGAGGGGACTATCTGGATTTCTATAGCAGTGATTCTTGGTGTTGGAAATACTGAATTGGACTTCTGGAGCTTCTGCTGCACGTGGAGGGTACACTGTCATTCATATCACTGTGGAAGAGTCACCTGGGTTCCATAGCAGTGGAACGGACTCAAATTATCATCAGCAAGGAGGAAAGGGCAAGGCACATACAGGCAACATTGGTAAGGTGAGGCACTGGGGGCACTCCCAGATCTGGCAAGCATCGGTTTGTAATTTAGAACATAGAATATAGAACAGTACAGCACAGTACAGGCCCTTCGGCCCATGATGTTGTGCCGAACTTTTACCCTAATCCTAAGGTCTATCTAACCCCCACCCCTACCTTATACTATCATTCACATGCCAATCTAATAGCCGCTTAAATGCCCCTAATGAGGCCGACTCCACTACCCTCTCCAGCAATGCATTCCACGCCCTGACCACTCTCTGAGTAAAGAAATTTCTATGAGATTCTTAGCAAATAATAAATTTGATGCTATGATTGGCTTCTATGTGTCTCTCTCTACCTGTCTGCCTTGTAGGATTCATAAAATTGAAATCTTTACATTTTGTAATCACAAAACAAGGTGAAAACTACAGGTGTTTTGTATGGTTTCAAAATTAAACATATTTATTGAAAACAATGATTTAATTGGGGTGAGGAAATAAATCATGCATTTTCTTTTTCTCATGGGAATAAAACACTTGAGTTTACAGAGTATTTTATGGTTAAATCAGCAGTGCTGTGCAACAACAAGTGTACAATCAGTACTATATAATGATTTGCCCTTTTTAACGGAAACATACCATTGTTCAAGAACATACAAATTAATTTTGCTTGAGTAATAATCTTAAAATTTCATTTGTTCCTATTTTCAATGTCAAAAATTTAAATTGTTAGAGTCTGGGTGAGAAACACTTTTTATTTGCATTCTGGGAGATTCTGTGCTGGAAATAGGATGTGCCTTCAGCTTGCTTTTTGTTCATTTTTAATTGTAAGCCCATGCTTTTAGGATAGGCAAAAGTCTTCAAATAATAATCTTAATAAAATATATTAACCAATGCAAAATAGCTCCACTGATTAGTTTGATAGCATATTTTAAAAATGTACTTTCCTAACGTTAAAACTTAAATTTTTGCACATTAGAGTTTTCAGTTTCTATGAAAATTACGTACTTCTTTTTCCCTCAGAAAGGATTCATAAAGGAACATTATGCTCGAAAAACTCTCAGAGAACTCTGAGGAGGTGGCTGACTTGATGTACAGGGCAAATGCAGTGGACGTGGACTTTTAGAAGGCTTAATTGAAGATACCACCTAGCAATATCATCCAGCAGACTGCTGAAGAAATTTAAGGGGAATAGAATACGAGTGGATAAAAAAATGGTTTAAAAACTAATTAGGAAGAAAGAAAAAAGTGAATTATGAACAATTTCAAAACGTGATTAGAAATAAGCAACAGTGTCACACTGCATTGTCGTAGAGTCGTACAATACTGAAGAGGCCCCACAGTCCATCCCATTGAGTTCTAGGATAGCTTCTGTTTATCATGTACATCAATGATTTGGACAGAGGATGAGCTGTTGCCAAAGTATATAGCATTGTAAGTTATTTCTACAAACCAAATGGAAGCTGGATGGGAATATAAGATTAAAATCCAAAAGAACTGCACATGCTGTAAATCAGGGACAAAAACAGAAATTGCTGGAAAAGCTCAGCAGGTCTGGCAGCATCTGTGAAGACAAAATCAGAGTTAACATTTCAGGTCCGGTGACCGTTCCTCAGAACTGGATATAAGATTGCCAAACATTTTTTGATAATGTTCCAGTATATGCTTGACTACCTCAGAGGCATTACCTAAGTCTTGATTGCCACAAAGTGGACAAAAAAGTGACAGGAGCAATGAACATTTGGAAATAAAACCCCCTTTCTAACACCACTGGAGGATTACTTACATTAGATGGACTACAACAGTTCAAGAACATTGCTCACTAGCACTTTGGGCAATTAAAGGTTTGTAACAAATGCTGGCCTTGCCTGCACCACCTACATCCCATGAAAGAATAGTGAAAAAAACTTTTGCTTAAAAAAAATTGTACTTTATTAAGAAAAATATGGTGGCATAAATGAGCAGAAAGATATTTTAAGTACAATTTCAGAAAACCTTAAATGTAGCAACTTATGAGTATGAACATAAAGAAAGACGATAGAATATTGAGCTTTATGGAAAGGGTATAGCAAATAAAAGTTGAAAAATAATGGTGAATCTATCTGAAACTTTCATAAGACTGCTTTTGGAAAATTATGCGTGCAATTATGAGTTCTGATGTGTAGGATGGATGTGAGGCACAGCTAGGGTCCAGCAAAAATTCACTACAATACTGTCTGGTTTGAGCAAATACAAACACAAAGAAAGACTTAAACTTAATTCTTCTAGAACTCCAAAAGGATAAAGGAGTGGTTTAAGAACCTAAGAAATCAGAGCCATCTAGCCCATTGAGCCTGTTCTGCCATTCAGTAAGATCATGGCCGATATTTTCGTGGACTCAGCTCTACTTACCCGTCTGCTCATCGTAATCCTTAATTCCATTACTGTTCAAAAATCTACTTTTGCCTTAAAAACATTCAATGAGGTAGCCTCGACTGCTTCACTGGGCAGAGAATTCCACAGAACCACAACCCTTTGTGTGAAGAAGTTCCTCCACAATTCAGTCCTAAATCTGCTCCCCCTTATTTTGAGGATATGCCCCCTAGTTCTAGTATCAGTACCAGTGGAATCAACCTCCCTGCTTCTATCTTATCTATTCCCTTCAAGTGTTTGGCAGAGACTTTTAAAATTATAGAGGGCCGAAACAGAAAGACTAGAAACAGATTATTTACACACTAAGAAATCTAAATAAAAAGACATAATATTAAAGACAGGAAACTGAAGATAAAATTTATGAGCTAATGATTAAAGCAGAGGCCATTGTAAAAGTTCTGAATGGGATAAAATAGGCAGTTGAACAAACATGGAAAAAGAGGCATGTGAGATTAGGATTTCAATTCTTGTGGAAGATGCAAACCAAATCACAGGACTCTGATTTCTATTTGGTGGCTGCCTGGAATAGTTCACTTTGAATGCAAGTTGCTATGGCAACATGTGCTTTTACATGCACGTTGTAGTCTGGAGAGCTATGGATAGTGATGATAGAGGCTCTAACATCTATTTCATCACATGGTCACCTGGAATCTCTCCTGATTTTACTGCAGTAGGCAAGTGTTGGAAGGATTTGCAGGGTGATACTCACCATTCTTGCTGCATTATTAACACTCCATATTTGACCATCACATCCTGGGGTGGGACTTAAACCAGGAGCTTCTGGCTCAGAAGCAGGAATGCCACCCACTGCTCCACACATCTTCCTCCAATTTTTAAACTCCATGCACCATGACTGCAGATACCAATTTGTTACATGGCTCCACCTGCTGGTAATTATGTTTTTTGGATTAAAATGATCCAGCAAGGTTCTCATGGTGCAGTGGTAACCTCCATACCTTTAAGCTAGGAGACCCAGGTTCAAGTCCCACCTGCTCCAGAGGTGTGTAGTAACATCTCTGAAGAAGCTCATCAGAAAATATCCTAAAATGACTACAATTGGCTCTTTATTCTCACACAAACTAAAAATGAACATACAAGTTAAAAAGGGTGCTAATGCAATTACTGAACAGAACAGTTTTTATCATTTCTCATTTAAATCCTGAAAGGTGGCAAGGCAGGTTAAGATACTGGATTCTATAAATAGAGGCATAGAGTAAGTAAACAAGGAAGTCATGATGAATCTTTATAAACCACTGGTTTGACCATCATTTGGATACTGTGTCCAAATCAGAATACTACACTTTAAGAAAGATGTAAAGGCCAGAGACCCACATGCAACATGTTGACTTGTAACTATGTCACCATTTTCCCATTGCTATTGGGTCAAGATTCTAGAACCCAACTCTTGATGACAATGTTACCAGGTGGACTGGAGCAATTCAAGATGACAGCTCACCACAACCTTCTCAAGAGCCATCAGGGATGAGAGAATCAATGCTGGGTTTGACAGAAATGCTCACATCCCACGAAAGAATAAAAAGTATGAGATTTACTGGAACGATCCAGAAATAAGGGTCTTCAATTTAGCATAGATTGGAGAAGCTGGAGTTCTATTCTCTTCACAAGATGGAGAGATTGATAGAATTGTTCAAAATTATTAGTGATCTAGGCAAAGTAAATAGAGAAAGGCTGTTCCAATAGTGGAAGGGCGGAGGACTAGAGTGTTGTATAAGGTTCAAAAGGTTTATTGTTGGAGACTGCATTAACTTGCTCCTAATCTGAAGACAAGGACTTGGGTGGGAAAGGGAGAACATCTCAGAATCTTGTCTGAAGATTTATACTTTGTGGTCTCCCAATGATCTGAATAACCATGTCTACACAATGAATGCAACTTGTAACTTATTGCTCTCTTGCAATAAACTACATCTTGTTTAAGGCATGAGCCTCTTCTTAAGGCATGAGCCTCTAGCGATTTTCCTCAACCACTGTATATCAAGTAGGTTCTTAGACCCAGACAAGGGGAGGGGATGGTGGCAGATAATTACCCTAATATAGGAACAAACTTACTTACATAGCAAGCGTTTAGGATTAGGAATTCACTGCCTTTGGTGTATGGTGGCAGTAGATTGAATCATGGCTTTTAAAGGGGAATTGGATTCACACTTGAGTAACAAAATTGCAGGGATACAGGGAAAGGACTGAAGAATGGGACCAGCTGGTTTGATCTTACAGAGCCTCCTTCTGTTTGAGAACCATTACATGATTACAAACACAAAATATCACTCCCAGTGTTTCTCTTGTGGAAACTTGTCACTGATTCTTCCTCTTCATATCTATAAAAATTAGCTGTTTTTAGCTTTTGTTCCTCCCTCCATCTCTCTTGAATTTGCAGATTTTGATCATCTCATCTCAGTGGAGAGTCTGAGTTATAAGGAGAGGCTGGGTAGGCTGGGGCTTTTTCCACTGGAGTGTAGGAAATTGAGGGATGACCTGATAGTCATTTATAAAATCATGAGGGGCATAAACAAGGTGAATAGCAAAAGTCTTTTCCCTCGGATGGGTGAGTTCAAAATGACAGGGCATACTTTTAAGGTGAGAGAAGAAAGATTTTAAAGGGATTTGAGGGGCAATTGTTTCACACAGTGGGTGGTTAGTATGTGGAATGAACTGCCAAAGGAAGTGGTGGAAGTGGGCACAGTGACATCATTTAAAAGACATTTGGATAGGTACATGAATAGAAAATGTTTAGAGGGATATGGACCAAATACAGGCAAATGGGACTAGTTTAGTTTGGGAAACTTTGGTTGGCATGGACGAGTTGGACCGAAGTGTCTGTTTCCATGCCATATGACTCTATAACTCTAGTATCATTGCTGCCCAAATGATGTCTAGGTGATGTAATTTTAGTTTCTATATGCTGCAGATAGAATTCTTGTTCTATAGTCCTATGTGGCTCTTATTATTTTCTGGAGTGACAGGTAGTGTTGAGGAAGCAGGGAAGCCCCAGAAGGACTTGGTTAGGCTAGGAGAGTGGGCAAAGAAATGGCAGTTGGAAAACAATGTGGAAAAATGTGAGGTTATACGTGGGAAGAAGAGGCCTAGACTGTTTACTAAATGGGGAAAGGCTTCAGAATTCTGAAGCACAGAGGGACTTAGAGTTTTAGTTCAGGATTCTAAGGTTAACTTGCAGGTTCAGTTGGCAGTTAGGAAGACAAATGCAATGTTGGCATTCTTTTCAAGACAGCTATAATATGAGAACAGGGATGTACTGCTGAGGCTGTATAATGCTCTGGTCAGACTGCATTAGGAATATTGTAAGCAGTTTGAGGTGCCGTATCTAAGGAAGGATGTGCAGGCTTTGGAGGGTATCCAGGGGATGTTGACAAAAACAATCTCAGGAATGAAGGGCTTATCATATGAAAAGTAGTTGAAGTCTCTGGGTCTGTACTCGATGGAATTTAGAAGGAGGGGAGGTGGATCTCATTGAAACTTAACAGAATACTGAGAGGCCTGGATAGAGTAGATGTGGAGAAGATGCTCCCACTAGTAGAAGACACTAGGACCCAAGGGCACACCCTTAGAGTGAAGGGACAACCCTTTAGAATTAAGGTGAGGAATGATTTCTTCAACCTGAAGGTAGTTAATCTGTGGAACTGATGTGACAGAAGGCTGTGGAGGCCAAGTCACTGAGTGTATTTAGTATAGAAAGTTCTTGACTGGTAAGAGGATCAAAGGTTATGAGGAGAATGCAGGAGAACGGGTTTGAGAAACGTATCATCCATGATCAAAAAGCAAAGCAGATTCAATGGGCCAAATAGCCTTATTCTGCACCAATATCTTATGGTCTTATGGTCTAAATTTCAGGTAGTAATTGTGTTGCAAACTATGCATGGTTCAAGTTTGCTTATGTCTGCCAACCTGAAGTTTCCCTGAAACCCTAGCTCTTCTACACCATTTAAACCTATTGGGAATCTAAATATTATAGAGATAAATAGAAAAGCCCACAGATTCCCTGCCCCCTGTCAAAAAGTTTAATGAATAATTTTTATTCCAACCGATTCGGTTTTTCCTGCGCTGTGATGGTGGCAGATGGGCTCTCTGAAATTTCTCAGTTGCATCCTGTTGCTTCAGTTTTCGTTCTTGAAGCACTTCCTCTCTAAACTTCTGTTCTTTCTCTTCATTATCTTTGCGTTTCTCCTCAAAAGCCCTGTAAAAAATACAAAATTCTGTTTGGATGGCTGAGCAGTGATTTATAAAGAACTTCCAGGCTCCAGACTCTTATTTAAGTAACATAATATGTCTTAGATACCAGGTGAGAAAATGCAATCCAGAACTGATGTAATTTCTCAGGTCAAAGTTCAACAAGTTGCTTTTTCAAATGTACAGCAGTTTACCAAGAACACAAGGTCCTTGTGGTGCAGTGGTAATGTCCTCACCTCTGAGCCAGAAGGCCCATGTTCAAATTCTACCTGCTCCAGTTGTGTATAAAATCAAAATCAAAACATATGTATAATCCAACACTGCAAATGCAGTTAATCTAATTGATTCTGGTAACTCCGATATATGTCACATCTTGTAGAATCATTCCACATATTCACCTTAAGTATTTTAAAACATTGAAGAAGAAATACCACCAACCAATGAAACAATGTATTCATCTTCATAACCAGAGCTATTCTGAGAGCAAAATGCCACAGTAAGCTAAATAAGTTTTAGTACCAATGAAAAGCAAATTAGATAATGATTGTTTGTCAAAATATAAACTGTAAAAGCTTATGAATTACCATCAGTAATTTTGAACAGTTTTAATATTCTTGTACTAAATTGCTCCAATTCCATTTTGCAGATTTATTAACTTTTGCAAAAGGAATTGATGACAGCAGTACTGAACCCAACTTCATTCTTCGTAAAAGCAAATTCTATGCGTTATTGTTCAAACTCAAAATAGAAAGTAATAAATCGACAACAATGATTATCATCTGTGAGCTATCTAATTTGCATTAAACAGTATAGTCTGTCACTGTTATGAAAGAGAAAGAGATGGAGAATTAATTTTAACTTTTGGCAACAATGTAATATAAAGACCACAATTTTTATTTTTGTTTATGTATGGATTGTAAATGGATATTGGAAAAGGCCACTTCTTTAGCCAAGGAAAGTGTGGAAGGAGATGCTACAGTTTTAAAACATATCAGTGGAACTCATTGTAAGTTGTACTTTCACTGTAGCTTTGCTCAAGCAAAGGTCAAGCACAAGGGAAAGGCAGGTTGTGAGAGGGACAAACAGGTTTACTTGGAGATATTGATAGGTCAAATAAGTGAGCAAAATTTTGTCAAATGGTGAATAACATGGGAAGTTTTTCATTTTGGAAGGGAGGACAAAAGAACAGAATATTATTTAAATGGAGAGAAACTGCAGAAAGCTGCAACACAAAGGGACTTGGGGGGACTTGTGCATGAAACACAGAAAGCAAACACACAGGGACAGCAGGGAATCAGGAAGGCAAGTGTAATGTTGGCCCTTATTTCAAAGGGATTAGAGTATAAGAGTAGGGAAGTCTTACTGCAATTGTACAAGGTGCAGGTGAGACCACATCTGGAGTACTCTGAGCAATTTTGGTCCCTTATTTAAGGAAAGATGTCATTTCATTCAAGGCAGCCCAAAGAAGTTCACTCGGATATTACCTGATTTGAAGGGATTTTCTTATGAGCAAAGGCTAAACAGGTTGGGAGTCTAGAAGAATGAGAGATGATCTCATTGAAACATATTGGATTCTTAAGGGGCTGAGAGGATATTTCTGCTCATGGGAGTGTCTCGAACTAGAAAGCATAATTTCAGAATAAAGGGGCACCAATTAAAACGAAGATAAGAAGGAATTTCTTCTCTTGGAGCTTTGTGAGTCTTTGGAACTTCTTGCCACAGAGAGTTATGGTGGCAGAGTTCTTGTGTACATTTAGGGCTGGGATGGATTCTTGATCAGTAGGGGAATTAAAGGTGACGGAAAATGGAAGGAAAGTGGATGTGAAGAATGTTGAATCTGCCATGATCCTATTGAATGGCCTTACTCCTGTTCCTATTTCTTATGGTCTTAAGCAAAATGGGACCATTGCTTGACCTACTGGCACTGTGGGCAAATATTCAGGGCAGTTTCACTCCTCTGTTTAGAAGATGTTGTCTAAGGAGCCTTGGTGAAGTACTACCGTGCATCTTATAGATATTACATATTGTTGCCACATACATTGGTGATGAAGGAAATGTTGAAAGTGGTAGATGTGGTACCAATCAAGCAGGCTGTATTGTCTTGTAGAGTGTTGAGCTTCTTGAGTGTTGTTGTGAATAACACCAATCCTGAAAAGTAGAGAGTCTCCTCTCACACTCCTGACTTTTGCCTTGCAGATGGTGGACAGGTGTTGGGAGACAAAAGGAAATTGTTTTCCACAGAATTCCTAACCTCTGACCTGCTCTTATAGCCACAGCATTAATATGGTTGATCTAGTTCAGTTCTGGTCAATGGTAACTCCATGGATGTTTCATTTGGGAACCCGAACATAGCATAGCCATTGAATGTCGAGGAAAGATGGTTAGATTCTCTCCTGCTCGAGATAGTCTTTGCCTGGCATTTGTACAATGCAAAGAAGATGTGAATTCCACTAATGGGAGAGGATCTGCTTTTCTGTAAATTCCAAATACTTGCTTTATTGCTTAAACGAAAAAAAAATAATACAAAGAATTATCTAATTTTCTGACTCTGTCTTCAGTTTCATTCTGCATCAGTCAGACTGCACCTCCATCCAGGCCTCTTCTCAGGAACCTGTCATTTCTCAAAAACTGGCTTCGAAAATTGCCAGTCAGTGGAAATAGTTTTTCACCATTCACTTTTTTGTGTTTCTGGGATAAAGGCAAGGATACATTATCTTTTATTTGCTGAGAATAAAATGATGGATTTTGTGGTGCTCTCACAATAGATGCAGAATTCCAAATCATTGCTGGAGCAGCACTGAAGGAATGGTAGATCAGGATGTTAATTGTTAGATTTGACAAATGCCAGGCAACAATTATCTCCAATAGCGGGGAATCTGACCTGCTTTCCTTGACATTTAATGGCTTTACTATCACTGAGACCTCCATTAAAAACATCCTTGGAATTACCACTGACCAGAACCTGAACTAGGTCAGCCATATTAACAATGAGGCTACAAAAGCAGGTCAGAGGATAGGAATTCTGTGTTCCCATAACAATGTTGCTTTTGTGCTTTGCAGAGGCGGAGATTTTAAGGAGTTGATGTAGAATATTCACTTAATAGTACATAACTGCAGCCACAGTTCATGAGTATTAGAAGGTACAGATAGCCCACTGGCTCCGACATTAATCAAGCAAACTACTCTTCCCTGGATGTTGTTAAGCTATTTTTATATTGTAGCAGCTGCATTTATCCAGCCAAACAATAAATATTCCATGACAGTGCTGGTATAAGGCGCTGAAGATGATGGATAAGTTTTAAAGGGATAAGGTGAGTCATTTGTCATAGAGCACACAGCAGCGTTCTTGCTCTTCACAATACGGCTTGTTTAGTTACGTTTCTGGTCAACGGTGACCCCTAAAATATTGATTGGTGGTGATTTAGAAATAATGCTACTATTTTAGAATGAAGGAAGATCATTCTGCTTTTTCTTACACAATATGGCCATTAAGTTATCATCTACGCGGCATGAATGCTCTCTGTCATTCTAAATCAAAATGTTACTGATGGCCTGTTGTAGACTGGCATGGGCTGTTCCATTATCAGAAGGGTTGTGAATGGTACTGAGCACAGTTCCCTACATTGAACTGAAGCTTCTGTCTCCTTCTGAGGATTAGTGACAGTGACTTTGAAATGAATGGCAGGTCATAGTATCCAATCCTGGGAGGTGCGAGGTCTTCAGCAATGAGGGCATAGATGTATGTGCCGCTTGCCTGCAGAGTGTCAGTCTCTTGCAACACTAGTCCTTGATCATCTTCAGGTAGCTCTTTGCTTGTAGATCCTATGCTGAGGGTATGACCTGTGTCTACCTGCTCCTCTCCATCTGCCTGGCATTTCTGATGGCGACAACTTTGTCCTTCTCATAGAAGCTGGTGCTCTCAGAGCCATTCTGTCCAAAATCTAGGTGCTTCGCCTCAATTCTCATTTGCTTCCTTGCAAATACACGATTATCCTTGGCAGTGTTTCTCCCTGCTCTTGTGATGCCAAAAAGGTGAAGACAATCAGATTGCCGAAGCATTTATTGCCCTGTATTACTGCCATATGCACTGAATCAATGGCACCTGTTTGTCAATGGCCATGTTCTCTTCTAGGTTATTCACTTTTTTATAGGATCCAGGTGCTTTGTGGGGTGGCTGTGACTCTGCTCCCTTGAGCTACCCAATTAAAGCCAAGCTTTAAATTGTTGGATTATTGCAAGGCAAACCTTCTCATTCATGTTCTGTAAGGAAGCGAATCTGCCATCCTTACTGACTCTGGGTAAATGACTCCGGGCTTACAGCAGTGTGGATGGCTCTCTGAAATAACCTAAGAAGTCATTTGGTTATATTCAAGAAAGTGGTACGCCTTACTTTCTCAAGGGCAATTTGGGATGGGCAATAAATGCTGATCTTGGCACAACCATCAACATCCCACAAGAAATGTAAAAAACAACTGTCTAGTTTTAACATACACCATACTACCTCCACCTGCCCCATCCCAATTCATTGGTTGCTATATTATTTAAATGTTTTGTGACTTAAATTTGATTTGTTTTGATTTATTATTGTCACAAGTACCTAAGTACAGAAAAAAGCTTCGTTTTGTAAGCAGTACAGGCAGATCATAACATACAAAGTCACAAAGATCATACAGTGATTGAACAGAGCGAGGAAGACAAAGTTACAGCTGCACAGAAGGTGTACGAAAAGCAAGATCAACATTACATTTGAAATTGGAGAGGTCCATTCAGCAGTCTAATAACAGCGAGGAAGAAGCTGCTCTTGAACCTGTTGGTGTGTACGTTTAAGCTTTTGTATCTTCTGCCTGACAAACAAGTTTGGAAGAGATTATAATCGGGGTGGGAGAGGTCTTTGATAATGTAGGCTGCCTTTCCAAGGTGAAGAAAAGTGAAGATGGAGTCAATGGATGGGAGGTTGGCTTGCATGATGGTCTGGGCTGTGTTCACAACTTTCTGTGGTTTCTTACT